ATGTCCATATGTGTAATTAGTGACCTGTTGCAATTAGTATTGACAGGTAAAACTGTATGATAAAATCTGTACCGATTTACTGTATTGTTATGGGGATACAATTAGTGAAGTAATCCCTTTATGACTGGCAGTGTATTCTTGTTGGAGAACAATACAGAATGTGCCGGTTAGTTGTTTGACAGGTTTATATTTATCACAAGGTTTTGGGCTTATTCATAAATATTTAATAGATGTCGTATGATTAGGCAGCATTTTTGTTAGCAGATGTTTGGTAGTCATATTTTAGGATATCATAAGTAGGGCATATCCATATCTAGATTCCATAGAATACACATTTGACTGTTAATATGTTCTATCAACAAAACAGGATAAGATCCTTGGAGTTTATGCTAACAGTTTGGTGTTGTGTGAGTTGAAGGTCAGGGTGTCCTGAACAAGTTCTAGTGTGTGACCTTGGCAAACTATCCTGAGGGGGAGATCCAGGAACAGGCTTACCATCAGTCTGCCACCCCATCCTGCTTATCACATTGCTTTTTCTAGCTACATTTTTCTTATATATTTTTTCTTACTATTCTAGAGGGGACATTTTTTTATGATGATTATTAAAATGCAGGTAATATTGCAAATTTTGAGGAAAATGTGTTTTTTTATGTAGTTCTCAGTAAGAATGGTTAGGATATATGATTTCTTAAATAATAACTTATTTATTCTTGTTGTCCTGCAGTGGGTGGGCACCATTGACCTGGCTGCCAATGAGGAGGCTGATGCCAATGTCATTGTCTCGAAGGATGCAAACTGGTCCACTCAAGCTGAAGTAGTCATGTCTGGTATGCTTTTCACAATATATTTTTGCATGTATATATGTGTATATTTCTTTTTTTATAATTAATTATGAAAAGTATTGGAATAAGAGACTACAATTGGCAATACATAATGTTTCAAACAAAATAAAGGTTTTAGTAGCTTTTTCAAGTAGAAGTAAATCTTAGGGGTACAGTATATATGAACGCATGGCTACCACCTCTTTTCTAGGTCTGGAAGGAGTCCTGGGGACAGATAAAGTGGATGCCATCATTAATGTGGCTGGTGGCTGGGCAGGTGGCAATGCTGCAAGCAAAGGTAAGTTATGCATTGTATGTATTTTTGTGTCAGGATTATTTCCAAATATATTGTACAAGCCTATTCCTGATTCATGCAAGGGGCTATCACATAATAATGAATTTTCATGTGCTTTCTACAATCTGCAATCTGATCTCTTTGTGTTGTTTAATCCCTATGGTTTAATCTATACATGTATTTGTAAACAACAGGAATGTCACTTGCAAATCCTGCAGAGGTCTGTTTAGGCTGGCTTCAGAATGCTTTTATGATATTCAGTATTATTTGATTGAAGTTAGTGTACCTACTCCTAGCTACAGGGCAATATCCCTGATTTGAATCTGATGCCAGGAAGTCAAGAGTTAGTGCCATTTATTATAACCTTGAGGGTAATATGAGAGGTTCTGTATACTTAGAGTTGTCCTATAATTATTTAATATAGTTTGATTTTTTTTTTAGCGTAGTCACAACAAATCTATTTTGTAGAAAGTACTTATTATATGGCCTGTGAAACATTTTTGTGTACAGGGCCTGATCTACTATGAAGATAGCACACTAGATATGTAGAATGTAGATATATTAAAGTACTAAATGTAATATAGATGTGAGTTTCTTCTTACATTACAAAATTCATAATGAATTTATATCATTTCATCCAATTATTTTGTATTCCAGAGTTCCTGAAAAGCTGTGAAATGATGTGGTCTCAGAGTGTTTGGTCATCTACCATCACTGCTCAGGCTGCTTCCCGTTTTCTTAAGGAAGGAGGATTTGTTGCACTTCCAGGAGCCAAGCCTGCACTAGAAGGCACTGCAGGTATTGTAGGAAGATCAATATCAAACAAAATTAATGTAGTTAGGAAGGGATAACAGATGCCTGATGTGGCTTTGTACTTAATTTGAAGAAGACCACGTGTCATGGACTATAATTGTTAAGAGGCATTTTCTTATAGGAAATGATACCAAGTTTTATTTCAGTAGATTTATAACCCTGTGATTGATATGGAATTAGTAGCTTAATTTATGAATTTGGTGAATTTAAAGTTGTTTAGAGGCCTATTTCTGAAGGCTGTGAGGTATAAAATTATAGATTTTTTTTTTTTTTGAAAATTACCATTACTGAAGATATACAGGCTTCTAGGTCATTAGTACTGCACAGGATGTAGTAAGTCCATTGACTATAACAGTTTTTTCTATAAGCAGCATTAGTTGCCGAGGAAAAAAGATAACCTTTTAATCCTATGCCACAAAAACTTACTTTGTGTGTAACTCATTAGAAAGGAATATGTATTATGTACCAATAGTCATTGCACAGTCTGCATTTATGCAGAGTTGCTTCCTTCCATGTACTCTGATTTAAAACATTGGTTCTCTCCTCTGTAAACTAGTGTTTTTAAATCCATTGTAAAATACTTATACATTTTTTACTAATTTTCCAAAGGAATGATTGGGTATGGTCTTGCCAAGGCAGCTGTGCATCAGCTGACAAAGAGTCTTGGAGATGAAAAGTCTGGCTTACCATCTGGTGCAACAACCGTTGCAATCCTTCCAATCACTCTGGATACCCCCATGAACCGAAAGTGGATGTCAGGGGCAGACTTCTCCACTTGGACATCTCTAGAATTTGTTGCAGAGTGAGTTTTGTATTTTTCATATTGAGATGTTGGGTTATAGTTTTGTAAATGTGAACTTATCATCTTGAGCCTCTAACTAGTTAATCATACAGATATTTAATGTAGCAATGCAGGCTTAGACATCTTTGAGCATGGTGCATTCACCCATTTATTTAGATGCATATACTTACCCAGTGAGGTAATATACGGTCACAGATAGTTATATCATAATTTTCTATATATCGTACTGTCTCCTTTTTGTCTTTATCCTAAAAACTATGATTGTTTTTTAAAAGTGATTTGATAAGCTCTTAATATTTCCATTTTGATAATAATTTCCAGCATATAGAGGCTCAAATGTTCTTTAAATTTACAAGAGCAGGTTTACCCTTTGCTGAAGTTATAAAACTTACCATCTCTTCACAGGCTTTTCATGAAGTGGACAAAGGGACAGGATAGACCTAAATCTGGCAGCCTTGTACAGCTCATTACCAAGGATAACAAGACCGAATTGGTAATGGTGTAGAACTGAAATGGACCTTGCTTTCTTTTTTTGTTTTAATTTCTTAGATAATTAGTTAATTCTTCTTGTGTTGTTTTTAATATGGATATGGAATCTTTTGTGGATATTGAAGCTGTCTTACTTTGAGACTTGGATAATACTCACAGCTATACTTGCTATGTATTTAACACCATTATTTTTTATACCTTGATTTTTTATATTTAATATCATCCATACATCATTTTCAGAGGTGAATTTAAGATTTTGTCAACACTGAAATACAAGTGCTATATCACAATCCAGTGAGTAAAATGTGCATATCTGTAGATGTAGTCAATCCATACATTTCATTGTCCTTTTTTAGCCATCAATTATGAAATCATAGATGGTTGATATTCCTTTAGATTGTGCATTTTTAAGGAAGTATTTTAGATTTGTTTCATTGGGAATTTCTCCTTGTTGGTTTCCTGGGTTGGAGAGCTTTGTTTAAAAGATATGAATTGTTGGAAAAGATAAGCCAGAAATATCAAAGACCATGTGAGATGTATGGAATTATTGATCACAGTAACATTGTGCTGTCCCTGAAAGTGCCTAGTTTTAAAGAGAGAGTATTAACAATTGTAGAGTATATTTTTATACTTATTTTGTTGATGTTTATGCTTCCCTCATCAAAAAACAAAACCATTACTGAAGAGAGAGGAGTGGTATTAACACTTTATTGTGCTTCCTTGATACCCAGTGAGAATATATTATTGAGAATTACCATCAAAGTGCTCAAAGTTTAGTCATCCTATTGCTTCCCGGATAACTTAGGAGACTAAAAGATGTATGAAAAACTTTGGTTGGAAAGTGCACAAGACCTTTAAGGATATTTTTACACATCTGGGTGAGGCTGAGGGAGTTATGAAACTGTACTAGGATTTCCTAGTTCAGTTCTTGATTCCCGGTTATGATAGTGTTCTCTAAGATGGAGAACTTCAATGTATGCAGACCGAAATTGTCATCAATGTGCTTGGGAGAATATACATATACAGGATGAGAACTTTAGTGTGTTAGTTTAGTATTATTCTAACCACACTTACCTAGTTCTTTCTGTTACATTGTGTATAGCATTGATCTTTGTGAAATATGTCTAATGAAGAGATTAATACAATAACCTTTTTAAAGATTCCATCTGTATTCTAAAGTAAAGAATATTTGTGTACTATAATTGTGATGCTGTTTGCTGAAGGGAGGTAGACAAAATATAAAAGAGATCAAGAAAAACAGAGATTGAAGTTTGGTGAGAATTGCATATCAAAATCCAAGTGGAAGTGAGGCAAGTTACATGGGCCCCATAAGAAAACGAAAACAGTTATGTTGTTTCACAGATATTTTCTTCCTCAAATCAATCCTTTAGTGGAAGTTTAGTTTGGAAACAAAATTAAATAACAAAAAAATGACACTTGCTTCAGTCACCCTCTCCATTTTCTTTGCCTCCCTAACACGTGGAGTATAATGTGCCAATGTTTCTACCAATTTTCTTAGCAAATTGCAGGTAAAATTTTGCATAATACCAACACTTCTTTGAATTTTAATTTTAATTGCCTGAGAATGATAATATAAGGCAAGTGATATCTTGAATCAGTTATTTCACTTCAGCAGTGAGTGTCACAGTTGTCAAGACAATGAAAAAAATTAGTGTATATGATTTGTGCTTCCCGTGATACACTCTTATTTTTCATTGTTTAAACTGTTTACACCATTTCATAGTTCAGAATCAAAATTACCATCAGCTTTAAAAGGAAAGGATGTTAGAATATAAACAAAATTGCTCTTCCATTTTTTTATTTAAACTAATTTATTCCTAAGACATTCCAGCTGTGGCAATACTTAAGCTTCTTATGTTTGAAGTCTGCATTAAACTGAAGAAATGAA